CAGTTCCCTAAGTTTAATTAATCTCTTTTAGCTAAAAAATTAATTCTTAATTAATTCTTGACTAATATTAGTTAAACAATATGATTTCTCCTTTAATATATTATTTTCATAACATATTAATAAATCATAATTAAACCTTTCTCTCCTTAATTCATCCTACATATTTCTATGGTGAAGGCAACTCAAAAGGACCATGCTCATAATCGGGTCAAGTACATACCAAAATAGTTATGGACTTAGACACTAATCCAACACGACTGACTCGATGAGTAGTGCTGTTTGAGGAAAACCCTAAATCTGAGGGTTTGTACCCTATTTAAACGCCTTATTGCAGCCTCCATTGCTCCTTATGCTCCCAAAACACCTCTTATCGAAACCCTATCCGCTTTGAGTGATCTATGGCCATTTTTGGTGCTTTTGGGTGGTTGTGAGGCTTGAAAGGAAGGGAGAAGCTTGGGAATTCGAGTTGGGTCTTGTAGATCCAGAGATCTTATTCCATCTTCAGCTCAACCAAGGTAATTACCCCCTGTTTTGGTCTTCCTTTTTGGTTGTTCGTCTTTAGGGCTTAGATTTTGGGTGCATTTAGGGCTTTCTAAGCCATTTTTGAATTTATAAAGTGATTCACTAGGTTCTACTTCCAGATCTGAGTCATTGGAGGGGTCTCATGGCATAAAGTTGCCAACTCTATGGCCATGAGACCCCCATTCACATTGTAGAGCACCTTTTATGGAGTTTTGAGCCAAAAACCCTATGCATGTGCATCAATTTTGGAACTTTACGTATAAAAGGGACATTAGGAGGCCAGATATATAGTTTTGATGCATTAAGACCCATTTAAATCGGCTGTATAGTAATGGTCAAGGATGGACTCGTCGAGTTGCTCTTGGGACTCGGCGAGTCGAGTTGTTCGGTTTGATGACTTGAGGATTGTCGTGTAGGGATTGAGGGGTCGATGAGAGACGACCTTCACGATGAGGACAGACCAGACACTACACAACATCGAGGTCAGTTACTTTCCAGTAGCGGTGGGTCTACAGTCACAATATCGGCCCAACAGTAGGAGTTGTATGTTAGATGATTGTCTTTGTGATATTCATCTAGATTTGCTACTACCTGATATGTTATATGCTGGCATGATATGTTATATGTGATAGTGGTAGTAGGGGGAGAATAGTCCCCAAATTCGGTTGTTAGGACTGAAGGGTAGGTCGGACACCCTAGATATGTCTGACAATATGTTATGATATGTTTATATGATGGCATGATATGCTATATGTGATAGTGGTAGTAGGAGGGGAATAGTCCCCAAGTTCGGTTGTTCGGACCGAAGGGTAGTTCGGACACCCCAGATATGTCTGATAGTATGTTTATGTTATGATATATGTGATCGTAGCAGTAGGAGTGGAATAGTCCCCAAGGTTCGGTTGTTAGGACCGATGGGTAGGTCAGCACCCCAGAACGACTTGACACGGGTAGGTCAGCACCCTAGAACGGCTTGACACGGGTAGGTCAGCACCCCAGAATGGCGTGACATGGGTAGGTCAGCACCCCATAATGGCTTGACACGGGTAGGCCGGGCACCCCAGAATTGCTCGGCAGTATGTAGGCTATATGATTGTATGGTATGTGGTATGATGGGGGAACTCACTAAGCTTTGTGCTTACAGTTTCAGTTTTGGTTTCAGGTACCTCTTCGTCTAAGGGGAAGGAGCTGGCAGGGTAACAGCGCATCACACACGCACATATGATTCCGCTTAGAGTTTTTTGGGATTGTACTCTGATATTTTATTACTTTCATATGATATGGTCTTTAAGACATGAAACTACGGTTATATGTATTGATGTGATTTTGGAAATGCCTTGACAAGTTATTTTATAAACCTCTAAACTTAAAATGAAATTTTTGGCCTTGATTTTTGGGATGTTACAGTACTGCTATATGTGATGCATATAAACTGAGTGGGTCAGGATGGAAAACATGGTGAAGCATATTTTCAACCCTATAATATTTTAATGATAAATAACCATATATAATAATCATGCCAAACAACCGTTACCAGACAATATAGATAATTAAACAAACATAGATATTTATATGATTATCTACCCGTACATACCCCGTCTAACTGATTCTCACAAATCCTAATTCAACGATCATCAAGAAGAATCACCTTACCCGACGAATCATTTGAGCAACTGATTAACTGAAAGATCTTGTATGCTCAATAGTCATATTAAAATGATATTGCTAATTAACATATGATCCTAAGGGTCACACTAACAACTTGATATAATTAATTATTTATTAAAAACTGCTTTTAATAAATATTCAATAAACTCTTAGAATTAATTGGAAAATATTATTTCATGGAAATAATAATTTTTCAACGACAAGTAACACATTATTTCATATGGTATGAATTAACATGTTATGCACAATATTTTGGACTAGATAAATCATTTTGTGTTTTACCAAAAGGGTAAAGTTTATAATTTATAAACTAGTTGTAAGATTTATAAAAATGTTGACTATCTTTTACTCCTCAAAACCGTAGCTAGTCTATGGAGAGGTAGAATGACGTTTTCATTTGTTTAATACAAATAAATGAAGGTTAGAGTGCATGCATGGATATAATAATGATCTAGAGACACGTTTGCTTCAAGTGCTTAGACCTAATGGTTAATATCTTCACTTTATTCATAAAGACATGGGACTTGCATTTGGTTCTTCACTCTTAGATGCAACTGTCAAAAAAGTACTATATTTATCTCTCTCTCTCTCTCTCTCTCTCCCTCTCTCTCACATACACACACACACACTCTCTCTCTCTCTCTCTCTTATTCTCTTACAAAGCTTGAAGAGTTTAGTTACTTGCACCTTTCGGTCTCTTGAAGATAAAACTTGGTTTTATCTGCAAGCTTAAGAGTTTTCTTAGAAAAACTAGCACCTTCAAGTCAAGTTGATCAATTATTGATGTCTCAAAGGTTCATACATTCTTCAACAACTTCCTAACCTCCCCTTGAGGATTCAAAGTCTACAAATGTTGTCTTCTTCTTCCTATTTGGTTGTTGTTTTTCTTTCCAAAATTTTCAAGAAGATCCATGGTTGGTTATAAACTAGTTTTATGTTGTTCAAAATATCAAAGTCTTTCGTTGCTAAATCTTGTGTTCTTGAAACAAATTCTGAGTAAAAATCCAAAATTTTGTATCAGATCCATCCTTGCAAGTTTGGTTAGATTTTATGATTTTTAGAAATCTTAGTTTTTGGAAAATATGGATAACTTGTTTTTGTAAGAAAATGAGTTCGTACATATTTTCTATGACAACTTTATCACTGTTATTTTATGTGACAAAAGTTTTGTAACATCTCCCTCTGACACATATCACAATATTGTCGGTACTAGCATCAGTAGCGATGGTGTTGAATCTTGAATTTCGTGATTTTAAAGTATCGAGTATTATCCAAAGTGTTTAAATTCGGTATTTTTTTTTAGTACGGTACTGATACAAGACAAGAATTGATACTAAATACTCTTCCATACAAAACATCAAAATAGTAAAAAAAAAAAAAGTATTCAAATAAAACGTCAAAAAACATTAAACAATGTATTCGAACAAAACGTCAAAATTATTAAAATATTTTCTAAATTATGAAAAACAAAGATAAATCAATAAATTAAATACCAAGAAACAATAAAAATAATAAGATTATAAGAAAACCTAATCTATATTATATATTAAAAGGACCCATATTAAAATAAAAGAAAAAAACATAATAATTATAATTTGACGAAAATAAAATGATATTTTCATAATTACTTAATAGTTATATAGGTAAAAAGTAACTTATTGTTTAATGATTATATATTTAAGAAAGAAGAAAATGTAAACATTAGAAGATTATTTATATTTAGGGGATGTGATAGGGAAAAAAGAGTGTTTATTATTTCCTTCGCAATAAGTAAAGTTTTTGGAAAAAAAATCCTTAAAAACCAGTTTAGTGTAGTAGGACTAATCTAAATAAACTGATTTTAATAAGCATCTTCCCCTTTGTTTATTAATTGTTGCTTATTTTCATCACAAATAAACTAATAAACAATAAACTATAAATTAATAAGTTATAAACTAATGTATCCAAACATCCCTTGAGAGAGCGGATATAAATAAATAGACCCGAAATAAAAGATAGAAACTTATAAATATCTCTATTAATCAACAAAAATCTGAAAGAGGTTCGGTGAGTGATGTTTTGTATGCCTCATTATAGGGAAAATACCGGCAATAGCCAAAAAATATGGGGTAATTTCAAAATTTGGACATGAAAATGGATATTTTGGGGTATAGACATGTATTCTGCGAAGCTCCGCAGAATCTATTGTAGCTCCGTGGAATGACAAAATTGTATTAAATCAACGTATATAAAAAAAACTCAAGATACATTCTGCGGAGCTACAGTAGATTTCGCGGAGCTCCGCGGAGGTAGCCCCGAGGAATGGATCTTGAGGGTTTTTATTTTTTTATTTTTTATTTTTATTTTCTGGTTCGATTCTTCGGGGTTTATATTTATTCACTAACTAATTATTTTTCAAGAAAAGATTATGATAGTATGATAATCTTTTTTTTGAAAATAATTAGTTGGGTAATTAATATAAACTCCAAAGAATCGATGCGAAAAAAAAAAAAATCTATTCCTCGGAGCTACCTCCGCGGAGCTCTACGGAATCTACTGTAGCTCTGCGGAATGGATCTTGAGTTTTTTTTTTTTTTTTTTTAATTTATTTAATTACGATTTTGTCATTCCATGGAGCTCCGAGGTAGCTCCGCGGAATGCATGTCGGAAATATCTACCTCCCCTATTTTTTTTTTTTTTTTTTTTTTTGCTATTACCGATATTTTCCCCTCATTATATATCTCTAGTCTAACCAAATATATAGTGCCTTTATGTTAAGCATTATTTGTCTGTCTCTTAAAAGACGTCATAAGAGTACCACAACAACTAATATGGAGTATTTGCCTTGGAGTAACTGGTGGTTGTTTATTATGCTTGCTATTCTGATGTTCCGACGATCAACGCAAGGAGGTTGCATAGATGTGGAGAGAAGGGCATTACTGGACATCAAGTTCTCCCTTATCAACTTATATGATTCAAAAAGAGAAGATATTCTCTCCACTTGGATTGAATATGGCAGTGGCAGCGATTGTTGCGATTGGGAAAGAGTCAAGTGCAACACAACCACAGGCCATGTCACGGAGCTTTCTTTGTTCTATTTGAATGGCTTTTCGTACGAAGATGAACGTTACATGGATGAAAAGGTTTGGCCATTGAATGTTTCCCTCTTTCTTCATTTTGAAGAGCTAACAAGTCTCGATTTGTCAAGTAATCATCTTGATGGCGGAATCATGAAAACAGGTCCGTAATTGTTGAGTATTATTTTGAAATTAGTACTACGTGTTTGACCAAAACATTCTTGTAAATTTGTATTCATGAAAACACCATCCACCTAATTTTGGTACTAAAAGCTGCTTTATGGTTACGTGAGTGGTTGGGTATTATTTAGTTGACAAAGAAAAGCCATGGACTTATATGTAGGATTTCGGTGGGATGTATATATTGTCACTAAGAATTTGGGGCTCCGAATGGATTTATGACCCGACCCGGTTTGAACTGTTTATAGAGCCTCCTTGACCTATAGCTATAGTTGCTAGGGTTTTTTTCAGTTATAATTATTCGTAGCTAGTGTTTCCCATGTATGACTTGAAACACATAAATGTTGAAAGAACAACATATATTCTTTGTGTTGATTTCTGCTTTTTTCTTCGAGTGCTTACTTAATTAACAGTGTAAAAGTTACTTTTTAAATGTTGAAAGAACAAGATACCCGTGTTTAAACTTTTTGTAATTTGCAGAACTTGAAAGGCTCTCGAGTTTGAAGATGTTAGAAATACTAGACCTCAGTTGGAATTCTGATATTAACAGTGACATCCTTCCATCATTGAGTGGACTCACTTCACTCATAAGTTTAGATCTTGGCAGGACTAGCATGAACGGATGTTTTCCTGCTAATGGCAAGTTTTCTGTGTTTTCATTCTCTTTCAACTTCCTTGCATTTAGTTAGGTGGTTTATATGTTTAATTAGTCCTATATATTATGACAGCATCATTATGGGCTTATGGCACAAGATAGATGGTTAATGGCACATTATAATTGTATCATGACATTATCATAACACAGCATGATAAAGGATGGCACTATGCGAATACAGTTGACTATGGTTTGTGCGATATAAGGCTATGTGGTGATGATGATTATGACTAATGCAAATTTGCATCAAACTAGCTTCAAAATGTACATATTAAAATAGCTTTCACGAGACTTGATCATTTAACATAACAAGGAGATTGGTCCTCTCATAATCCCTTCACCTTCACAACATGCATTTTGCTAAAATGTACATCTGAAATTAGCATGCATATATACAATACATGATCTATTTTTTTCCCTTTTTGACAGAATTATCACATCTGACTAACTTAAAAGAGCTAGATTTAAGTGATAGCGGGGTCAACGGCACACCAAATATCCAAGGTAAAGGAAGATTAATTAGCTTCACCTTAACCATTCTAATCAATCCTAATTAAGTTCTCCAATAACTACAAACTTTATAAAACCATGGTTTCTCTAAGAATACCATTTTGTTTACAGCTTGTAAAAGCTTATCGAGATTGAAAAGGCTGGAGAGTCTAGCTCTTTCAGAAAACACTCTCAACAAGAGCATCATATCATGCCTAAGTGCCCTCCCATCCCTCAAGATTCTTAATCTTTCATATTCTTCTTCATTGGGAGGCCCCTTTCCTGTCAAAGGCATGTTTATCTTAAAATACTCATCATTAAAGACACTACAATACTAGAATTCATCTTGCTTATCATTTATCAGTTTCCATATTTTGCTAATCGTTTTGTCGAATTGTTTGACACATCTCTTCATATAACAGAAATTCATAATCTGTCTGATATGAAAGTCCTCCTTTTAAGAGGTAATGGTTTCAGTGGGACACTACAAATGGAAGGTGCATGCGCTTTTTCTTCGATCATTCCCATTTACACATTATTATATATTGGTATATAAGTTAAGATAAATTGTCAAGTACCTACCAAATACCAACTCATCAAAAAGATGAAAGACTAAACATGTGGGCTTGTGGCAAGAGCTTGTCCAGCTTCAATTATAAAAGTACATGACTTGTAACAAGTTCTTTTTCGTGGTTTTCGTTTAGTAACCTACATATGTATCCCTCTCTTGTTGTCATCCAGCTTTTGCATCTTCCCACCATCTGGAGGTCTTAGATTTGAGTCACAACAAGTTTGTTGGGAGTATCCCATCAACAATACATGCATTATCTTTCCTGAGAGTTGTCTCATTTGCTTATAATCAACTCAACGGCTCACTACTAGACCATGGTAAGTTATCTTAACCATACCAGACCATGGTTCACGCCTTTTCTAACATTAAATTTCACGTGGTTAATCTTTCTAATGCCATATGACCATGCAAGTGCAATTCATTGTAATTATTACAGGGTGAACTACATTTTTTTTCTCTTTGGCAGGGTTGTGTGAGTTGAATAACCTCCATGAGATGGATCTTAGTCACAACATGCTCGATGGAATTCTGCCTCAGTGTTTCAACAATCTATCCAGTCTTAAGTTGTTGGATATCTCTTCAAATCGATTCACAGGGAAGCTTGTGCCATCACTCATTGCTAATCTCACATCTCTCGTGTACATTGATTTTAGTCATAACACATTTGAAGGTTCATTCTCATTCAGCTCGTTATCCAATCATTCAAAGCTTGAGGTAGTTGGATTTAGAAGTGACAGTGACAAATTTGAGGTTGAAACAGAAGAGCCTATCGGTTGGATTCCATTGTTCCAATTGGAAGTTCTTGAGCTATCTAATTGCAATATAAATAGGCATAAAGGACGTGTTGTTCCTGGGTTTTTACTTCACCAGCACAAGTTGCATGTAGTAGACGTGTCTGATAACTCTTTGAAGGGTCAGTTTCCAGATTGGTTGATAAAAAATAATACGAATCTGAATGTTCTTAATCTAAGGAACAACTCTTTTGGCAGTATGCTGCTGTATAGAAATGCTAATATGCAAGGGTTGGATATTTCTGGAAATCACATGATAGGTATTATTCCTGAGGATATACACAAAATCTTTCCGAACTTATATTATTTAAATTTGTCGAGGAATGCTTTAAGTGGTGCTATCCCATCTTCGGTTGGTGATCTGAGCATATTAGGGGTACTGGATTTATCTCATAACGAGTTATCAGGAGAAGTACCAAAGGGATTGTTTACAAACCTCTCTCAGTTGAGGGTATTAAAACTATCAAATAACAGCTTTCATGGTCAGGTACTCTCAGGAAACTTAAGCTTGGGTAACATGGAAAGGGTTCACTTAGATAACAACCGTTTCACAGGGAAATTTGGACTTAGGAGTAAGGAAAAATTGCTTGAACTTCTGACTGTTCTAGATATTAGCAATAACTTTTTTGAAGGTATGATCCCTGTTTGGATAAGCAACATGAGTAGGCTGTCTCAACTTGTGATGAGAAATAATACATTTGAAGGCCAGTTTCCTTGTGGAGCAGCTCCATTCTCATTTCTTGATATTTCACATAATTCTTTTAATGGACCCATCCCATCCTGCTTAAATTTGCAACATATGGAGCATCTTCATTTGGGTTCCAACAGATTCACAGGATCAATGCCCGATTACTTTCGTAATTTGACTAACGTTTTGACTTTGGACATAGGCGACAACAACTTGTCAGGGAGGATTCCTAAATTTCTTGGCGAACTAACCAATTTAAGGATTCTTCTTTTGAGAAAAAACAACTTTAGTGGCTCTATTCCAAAGCAGTTGTGCCGATTAAGTAATGTGAGTTTAATAGATTTATCCGACAACTCCCTTTCTAGTTCAATACCAAGTTGCCTACAAAATATTACAGGCCCAAGTGACCTTGCTTTTATGAAACAAAGTGTTAGGGTATACCCTAGTCACATGTTGTATAATTATAGGAGTGTTCTAGATAAAACATTTTATACAGAGGACCACAATCATATGTTTGAAATACAAGATGAAGTTCAGTTTACTACAAAAAGCCTCTCTCTCCCATACAAGGGTGATGCCCTTGATATCATGTCGGGATTGGATCTATCGTGTAACAAACTAACAGGTGAAATTCCAGAAGAATTGGGGTTGTTAACACAGATTCGTGCTTTGAACCTGTCACACAATCAACTGACTGGACCAATTCCAGTGAGCTTCTCAAATCTTGCAAAGATAGAGAGCTTGGACCTTTCTTCAAATGGTTTAACTGGCAGAGTTCCATCAGAACTGATTAAGCTTACTTCATTATCTGTTTTCAATGTTTCTCAAAACAATCTATCAGGAAGACTCCCAGAAATGAAATCACAGTTTGGTACCTTCACAGAGGCAAGCTATGAAGGGAATCCACTTCTTTGTGGACCACCACTTGTGAAGAAATGCACAACTACTAATTCACAGGTGACCAATCAATCAGATGAAGAAGAAGACAATGAGAAATGGTATGACATCGATATGTCATGCTTCTATGGAAGTTCTAGTTCAACATGTGTTGTGTTCTTATTGGGATTTGCTGGACTTCTTTACACCAATCCTCAATGGCGTAGAAGGTGGCTAGATTGGGTTGAAGATTGTTTGTTAACATGTTATTACCTCCTTTATGATTCAATACACAAGCTCTCTGTACCCTTCCATAAATAGGACCTGCCTGAGAAGTGTGATTGTATACATTCCGTATATATTTATATCTGTCTTTGCTCTATTTTGATATATGAATAATAATGTATAAGAAGATTGTCAGTTTTACTTCCTTTATGATTCAATAAGAAGGGAATATCTGTCCCATTGACCCACACCCGCTCTTTCGGGAGCGGGGACCATATATTGCTTAGTAGTAGTAGCAGCAGCAATCAGGTCTAGAGACAATCGAACTCCCCCATTATCACTCAACATTGCAGAGTCGTTCTAGTCACCTATCATTACTTTACAGCTAATCTGCCTAATCAGGTAGATTTTGAATCTAGTTATTGTATTAAAGACACCTTTCAGTCACTTGCGATGGTTTTCAGGAAATGGACAAAAGTTGTCAATGTTCCTAGACACTACAAGAGATGGACACTATGGTTTAAAGAAATTAAACAGCAGTCCATTTTAATATATTTTCTGTTTTTCTTTTAGGCATTTCTAACTTTTAATCAATTTAAATTTTAATAATTTGAAAATAACAAAATCCCAACACCACCCCATTTCTCCCTTGTCTTTCTTCTTCTTACCATTTCCATCATTTACTCATTGCTGACACTATAGCCACCACCAGCTACCACCAACCCTCCCACCATCTCTCTGCTTACTGTTGCCCATCCCATCCCACCATATCACACCACATTTTGTCTCCCATCGCAGATCCTACTAAAGACTCTCAACTATTACAATGACAATGACCAATTGGTGTCCTAACTCTCGGTTGTTAGTTAGCTAAAAAATTAAATTCAATGATTCTTAAAGAACAACCCTTCCTTCGTATAAGCTCTTTACTATCCGTTTTCTTTTAGGGGGTGTTTGGGTCCCAGTTGGAGAACATCAGTTATTGTTTATAAATCATCAATTTACAATCCTAAGATGCGTTGATGCAAAAACGGATAGTTATTAAAACATCAAGAATCTAGAGATTTACACAAGTACATACTCCAATGGTTGAATCTATAACACATAAGTTATGGTGGCTAATAGTATAAATTATCAATTCCATCATTAAAACTAGACTATGCATAAACATATAACAGATCTAAACCAATGTAAACAAACTATTAATCAACAAAAGCATCAAATTTTATTAATATATCACTTTATTTGTCGTCAATTCGTCATCTATTCCAAATCTACAAATAAGTTATACAAGTTCAATAAAAACGGTTAAGAGAGTTAGATTGTATTTGTTTTTGAGGAGGTAAAGTGTCTTCGGTCTTTTTTCATGTGTGGACCAAAAGTCTTTTTACATGTTTTTCGTATTCGTAAAAAAAATAGACTGTTTATTTTTTAAAATCTGTAGCTACATAAATATTACTAAACCACATTGATTGTGAATACACCCATTAATCATATTGATTCCTAGATGATAGTAAAATATGGTGGGTGTGGGGGTGGTGGTGCTGGTAGAGGTGGTGGTGGTGGTACGACAATGGTAACAGTCACAACGATAGCGATGAGAATGATTATGATGGAAAAATAATATTATATTAAGGTTAGAACTTAGAAAACGTCTTCAAAAATTAAAAACTATTGTTTTGTCTTTTGAAAAAAGGTCAAAAAGACATTTTTCTATCTTTAGTCTTCTGAAAAAACAAACAATATTTTCCTCAAATATCTTTCCGCTCACCGGCAAAAGAGTTCAAGAAGAGTTTTTTTCCAAAAAAAAAAAACAACATCGTAGATTGTAGACCAATAAACCTTCACCTTTGGTGAGAACCCTAGCACCAAGAGCAACGATTCAACATCAAATCGAGAACTTTCTGAATCCGGTTTGCAAATTACCGGTGACACTACTAGAAAACAGAGTAATAGCAACGAACTTTTAGCGACGGAAAAATATGTCGGAAAAAGCAACGGATTTCTGTCAGATGAATTATTAGGATATAGCAACGCTTTTGCGACATAATGAAATTGGTCAGTAATCCGTACCAGTGTACTGACGGTTTACCGACGGAAATCAACAAATTGAAGTTTCGTCGGAAATCTGTTAATAAAATTCTATTTTTTTTTAAAAATACTTGGGGCACTTTCGTAAATATGTTATCTGAACTAAAAATAAGAACACGTGTTGCCCTAGTCTCACTTTCCCTCTTCTCTTTCCCCTATCTGCGATTTCTAGCTCTTCCCAGTATCTCCGATCTGCAACCAACCGGCGACTGCCTTCGCCAATGACATCCCCTCCGCCATCGCCGTCGGAAGCAAAGCCCTCCAGCTCCTCCAAAGTCATCGACGCAACATACTTCTCCGTCCTACTGCCTGTCCGTCCTACAACCCATCAACGACAACCAGCATCGCCTCAGTCTCTTGCCGCCACCATCGTCGAAGTTGTTGCTGTAGCTAGTGGACCTTACCATTGAATCCGATTTCATGTTTTTTTCACTCAAGTTTTGGTAAAAGAAACCCTAACTTATTTTTTCTATTACATGATTAAGATGATTCACATTTTATATATCACAAATTGTTATGCCCTTAGTATTTTTGTCACTGTTTGATCATTTATGTTAGTTTATTCAATTAAAGATAAACAAACCTAACAAAATTGTTACGTTGTGAACTTATATGATAAACCTATAAATTCTTCATCCAACTTTCAGAGGCCAAAATTATGATAGTGGAGTCTTATTAAGTCTTAAGAATTGTGGGGCTTAATACCCAAAGGAAATTAGGTGAGGGACCTGATGCTTAGTTAAGTGCAGTAAAATAAACTCGTGTTCCCAACTTTGTAGGTCCCCTGTTTTCACAATGTGAAAATGGGATTGCATAGTTAGATGACATGTGTTCCTTTCTGCTGGAGAGGGTATAATGGTCATACAAAAGTGCTTTAAAAAGATAGGATAAATATTTAGTTTCAATTAAATGTTCAATTATGAGAACATGTTTAGTTTTCTAAAGCTTTGAAAGAGGTTTGGAATGCAAACGACTTATGAGTTATGACTATATGATCATCTTAAGCATGATCACTTCTGGTCTCACATTCTGAGAAGAAATATGCCATTAACATATTGACTAATATGCACCTGAAAGTCAATGTTGATAATGCCCTCTACTATAATTTCCATGATGCAAATAACCAACGAATCTATCTATTTATTGTTGTAGACCTGTAGTTGAATGTTACCATCATGTTGTAGGTTCTCCTGTACCAAAAGTTCCTTCATCTCTTTGTTGGTCTCCTTATTTGGTATTTGTTTCTACTAAATACTAATAGTTTAATCCTTCATAATGAGACAATGCTTGAAGAATATGACCGAGATTATCTTATCTTCTATTGTGTTTATCTTATATTTATTTATTCCTAGTTTCTTGATAGGATTATGATCTTTTCTTTCATGTTTATCTGTTTGGGTCTTTGGTATATATGTACTCTTTATCAATTGAATAAAACACACGACCTGGAACTAATTATTCCAGTTGAACCCTTTTTTTAGATTTCTATATGGTATTAGAGCGGGTCCTCTGATCCGCCAAAATCGCAAAACCAGAAACCTTCTCCATGGCAGGACCAACAGATGGCGTTGAAGGGAGTGGGAAAGACAAAACCAAGAATCCTTCTTTTGATCCAGACTCTCCGTATTACATTCACCCCACTGATTATCCACGTCAGATGCATGTGAATGATACTCTAAACGACAACAACTACGCAGACTGGTCTCGGGAGATGAGTGACTTTCTTATCGCCAAGAATAGGGCCGGCTTCATTGATGGAACTCTTCCAAAACCGGCAGAGGATGCACAAGACTACAAAGCATGGTTGCGTAGTGACGCTATTGTGAAGGGATGGATCACTACCGCCATGGAAAAGGAAATCAGAAATAGCGTAAAATACGCAACGACTGCTAGACAGATTTGGGAAGACCTCCAAGAGAGATTCGGAAAAGAAAGTGCTCCAAGGGCTTATGAATTAAAACAAACTCTAACAACTATAAGACAAGACAATCAATCAGTTTCTGCCTACTACACAATGATGAGAGGAATATGGGATGAAATTGATTCTGTCTCGCCTCCACCAACATGCACCTGCAACAATTGTTCCTGCAATTTAGGAAAAAGACTCATGGAGTCCAAAGAAAGGAACATATATACGAATTTTTGATGGGCCTTGATGACAGCTTTGGGACCATTAAGACCCAAATTCTCAGCACTAAACCCCATACCAAGCTTGGGTACTGTCTACCATTTGGTATCCGAAGATGAACAGCAAAAGAACATCAGCACCACAAAGAAAACAGTGGTGTAGGCAGCAGCTTATCAGATACGAGCACCACCAAAAATTGAAACCAATTATCCTGAAAAACGCGTCAGTCGTGAGAACCTTAAGTGTAAGCACTGCAATAAAAGCGGACACACGATTGATGGATGTTTTGAAAAGATCGGGTATCCTGGTGGGAAAATCGACAACGAAGAGCTCCAAACGATCAGAAGAAACCGATAAAACCGAAACCCAAGGCCGCTGCAGTTGGAGTTGAATTCAGTCCCATTCCCGGGCTTAATGTTGAACAATATAAAAGGTTGCTGCAACAGTTAAGCAGTGAAACTAAGCATGAGGCTAGCTGGTAAGATTAGCTTTCATCGGCCATGGGTCATCGACTCGGGAGCAACCGAACACATCACTTGTGATGATTCCGTCCTAATCAATTTAAAGGAATCACCTGATGGTGCTCCTGTTAAAATACCAAATGGTGACAGTATTCCCGTTCAAGGAATAGGGAGTGCTTGCTTGCCAAGTGATTTGAGTGTCGATAATGTCCTTTACATTCCAGATTTCAAATGCAACCTTTTGTCTGTTAGTAGATTCACTAAAAAATTTGTAACATTTTTCCCGGATTTTTGTTACATACAGGACTTACACTCGAGGAAGCTGATTGGCATGGGGAGGTGTAAATATGGTCTTTATAACATGGAAGAGATGGATGCAAGCATCAAGGCTATGGCAGTCAAGGTTGATACTGAAATCTGGCATAGAAGGTTGGGACATGCTTCAAATTCTAGACTTCAACATATTAGTTTTTTGAATAGTTTAGGAGAAATAGATCATTGTGATTCATGTATTAAAGCTAAGCAAACTAGATTACCTTTTAAAGATAGTTTTATTAAAACTTCTGCACCTTTTGACTTAATTCACTGTGACATATGGGGTGGTTATCGAGTTCCTTCACTTTCTGGGGCCCGATACTTTCTTACAATTGTTGATGATTATAGTCGTTCCACTTGGGTCTATTTGTTAAAGCACAAATCAGATGCAAGCTCGAGTCTTGTAACTTTCTACAAAATGATCGAGACCCAATTTGAGAGAAGAATTAAAAGAATTAGAAGTGATAATGGAGGAGAGTTTGTTTCAAACTATATGCAGAGATTCTATCAAGAACATGGGATTTTGCTCGAAACTTCATGCATCCATACCCCACAACAGAATGGAATAGTTGAGAGGAAACATAGACACCTCTTAGAGATAGCTAGAGCTTTACGTTTTCAAGCTAGTCTTCCTATCGAGTTCTGGGGTGAATGTGTTCTTTCGACCACTTATATCATAAATAGATTACCTTCTCGATCCATCCAAAATAAAACCCCATATGAAATTCTTTTTAAAAGTAAGCCTTCATATGATCATATGAAAGTTTTGGGTTGCTTAGCATATGTCAAGGAGAATAAAGCTGGAAAGGACAAGTTTGAAGAAAGGGGGAGGCCTTGTGTTTTCGTAGGATATCCACAAGGAAAAAAGGGGTATCGAGTTTTTGATATCCAAAACAAAGGGATCACTGTTTCTCGAGATGTGAAGTTCGTAGAAGGCATTTTTCCTTTCCAAAATATTGAGGATGAAAATCAAAATAGGAACCATACAGGTTCAAATCCTTTTGACAATACTTATGATAATGAGACAGCTGCCATTCTTGATACTGCTGATCATGCGCCTGTTGTTGATCAGCCGGTTCCAAACAGCACTTCGAGTGTTTCTGCTAGCCCACAACACAGCCCAGACAGGACGTCTTCTACCGATGGGTCAACATTATCCCAAACAAGTCAATCTGATATTGACCCAGCCCGTCATCCAACCCAAAACACTCGTCCTGAGCGAACTCGAACCAAACCTGCACGATTGCAAGAATTTGAAGTCGAATTACCACCTTCCATTGACCATTCTCACTCCCATGTCAACACGGCTTCTTCAACGGTACATCCTTTATCACATTTTGTGTCTTATAAGAATTTTACTAACTCCCACAAGGCTTACTTGAGTGCCATCTCTTCTCAAGATGAGCCCAAACACTTTTCTAAAGCAGTTAAAAGTCAGCATTGGAGGGATGCTATGCAAAGGGAGATTCAAGCTCTTGAAAATAACAACACATGGACGTTGACAAATTTGCCACCTGGAAAGAAAGCCATCGACTCAAAGTGGGTTTACAAAATCAAATACAAACCGACTGGTGAAGTAGAGTGCTACAAAGCAAGATTAGTTGCAAAGGGTTTCACCCAAATTGAAGGCGTTGACTTCCATGAGACGTTTGCACCGGTCGCCAAGCTAGTGGCGGTCAGAACCATATTAGCAATTGCTGTTCAGAAACGATGGGTAATTCATCAACTCGATGTAAATAACGCTTTTTTACATGGAGATTTAGATGAAGAAGTATAAATGAAGCTCCCACAAGGTTTTGCAAAGGAAGAGGATACTCGAGTTTGTCGTCTACGAAAGTCCTTGTATGGTTTACAACAAGCCTCACGAAATTGGTACAACAAGTTCACTGAAGCACTTTTGCAAATTGGTTTCAAACATTTTAAGGCTGATCACTCTCTTTTTATATTTAAGCAAAAGGATATCTTTATTTCAGCACTCATCTATGTGGACGATGTTATTCTTTTGGGAAATAATGATCGTCACATTGCTAAAATTAAAACCTTTCTCGACAGCAAGTTCAGCATCAAAGACTTGGGAACGCTGAAATATTTTCTTGGAATTGAGGTGGCCCGGACACCGGATGGAATGGTTCTTAGCCAAAGGAAGTATACTCTTGATATACTTACTGATAGTGGTTTGGAAGGATGTAGACCAAGTTCTTTTCCTATGGAGCAGAATATTCGTTTGACTACCGAAGATGATTCACCCCTAGTTGATGCTGGGAAGTATAGGCGGCTTGTTGGTCATCTTCTATACCTACAAGTCACCCGACCTGATATTGCGTTTGCCGTAAATACGCTCAGCCAGTTTGTTTCGGCCCCTCGGGAAACTCATTGGATCGCTGCTCTTCATGTGTTACGATACCTTAAAGCTACGCCTGGTCAAGGCATTTTTCTTCCGGCTGATAGTGATTTAACATTGGTTGCTTATTGTGATTCCGATTGGCTTGGTTGTCCTTTCACGAGGCGTTCAAAGACCGGTTATTTTATTACTCTTGGAGGTGCTCCTATCTCTTGGAAAACAAAGAAGCAGTCCGTTGTGTCCCGCTCTTCTGCTGAAGCTGAGTATAGATCCATGGCCACTACAGTGAGTGAAATTTTATGGCTTCGTTGGTTGTTAACGGACCTTGAAGCTTCTCAGATGGCTGCTACTCGACTTTATTGTGATAATCAAGCTACACGGCATATAGCTAACAACCCGGTATTTCACGAACGTACTAAACATGTTGAGATGGATTGTTATTTCGTTCGAGAGCGAGTTGAGTCTGGGGAAATATTTCCAGCTGCTATTCACACCAAAGATCAACTAGCCGACCTTTTTACCAAACCACTTGGGACTGACAGATTTCGTTCTCTGTTGGGCAAGATGGGCGTTCGTGATCTCCACGTTCCATCTTGAGGGGGAGTGAAGAATATGACCGAGATTATCTTATCTTCTATTGTGTTTATCTTATATTTATTTATTCCTAGTTTCTTGATAGGATTATGATCTTTTCTTTCATGTTTATCTGTTTGGGTCTCTGGTATATATGTACTCTTTATCAATTGAATAAAACACACGACCTGGAACTAATTATTCCAGTTGAACCCTTTTTTTAGATTTCTATAATGCTAGTGACTTGACTTTGAACTATTTTTAGAAGTTAAAGGCTTTGAAGCCATCACCTAATCAGATATAAGATGGTTTTATACTTGAAATACCATATATAATAAAATCCTGTCCACCTGTTTTGCTAAATACGGGAAACAGCAATCTACTTTCATTTATTTGTTTATTATAACATCCTACTTAACTGTAGCAATGTTACTGTTTCTATTAGACAATATTAGAAATCGAAAACATGAAGACAATTATTGATCATTTACAAAATCTGTAAAGAAAGCTGCTTTTGACTTGAAAAAAAAAATGCATTCCTAGTATACAATTGGCTGAATAACCATTGAACCAGAAAAACTATACTAAATTTTTGTCATTACCAACTCAAAAGAAAAACAAAATCAAATGCATAGAATAAGATTAGGAAACCAAAAATCATCAATGTGTGAATTTGTATAGTAACATACTTCAAGAAATCAAAAACCAATTACAAACTTTCTTTCCTTTATTATAAATAAATATCCAGATGACACTTGACAATATAATCCAACTCATTTTTTAAGGAAATTACGTTTTTGTCCTTTGATTCATATGGATATCGTCTAATTAATAGTTTAACTTCAGAGTCTTTAAGTCATCATCTCATCTGTTAAGATAATGAAGATGATCATTTTGCCCCTATCACTTCATGTTTTCCTTCAAGAACATTGAAGTCATGTATGATTCTGGTTTCACTTTTAAAACGCAATCTTGTTGATTTGGTGTTGTTATGATTCTAAATAGTGTTCTTGAACATAACAATATTAGACTTAGTATAAGTGGGACAAAAACTAATTGCAATTAGTTGTCCCAACAGTTTGTATTGTATTTGACTGCATTTAGTCTTGTTAAAATTCAAAAAGAACAATATGTTGTATAATACGAACATAGGAAAACAAAGATGTAATTTCTTCACCCTGTATTACTCAAAAAGACCTAATTTACACTTTTGGTCCCTGTGAAATATCGTTTTTTCGGATATAGTCCAAGAAAAAAAATTAAGCATTTTTCGTCGCTATTTCGTTGTTTCTTAATGATTCTTATTATAAATTTCTTCACCCTGTATTACTGAAAAAATAAGCAGACTCACCTTGAAAAGAGTGCAAAGGTGAAGTTGGCATCTGGAGAGTTGATTGGGAGCCAACCTGAGCACTAGGTTAATGAGAAGTCTTGGACCATATTTGTAAGTTACTATTTTATACTAATTATATGTTTGTTGGACCATATTTTAGATAAATGAATTAGAGAGCATGTTGGAACGAGAAGTGAAGAAACGGGAGGAAATAGAAGCCAATTTTGATAGTGAGGTGAAGTTATGAGAGGACATGGAAAGCCGTCTTTTTGAAAAAATGAATGATCTTTTGAAGAAATTCACCGAAAGATAAAAGGTAAAATTTGAGGGCATATATGGTATTTGACAATATACAAATATCTCTCTAGCTAACATCTCTCAATGATAGGTGTGGAATCCACGAGCTGCTAATTAAGAAGGAAGTCTCTGTTGGTTGTTGACAATATTTGACTATGGATTGAAATTTATAGGTTTAATGTATGTGAAATGATTGAAATTTATGGATTTACTTTTATATTTGTTTGTTTTAAAATATAGATTTTAATTTCTTCATTAATTTGTAATTTTTTTTGTAATGCCAAAATCCGTCGCTAATCTGTTACAAAAAAATTTGTAGTCATTTCGGGATTCCGTCGGTAATCCGTTAGTAAGTTATTTCAGATTTTGTTGGTAATCCGTTAGTAAATTTTTCCGTCGGTAATCCGTTGCAAACAAATTCCGTCGGTAATCCGTTGCAAAATAAATTTTGTTGGTGATCCGTTACCATTTCCGACGGAAAAATTCGTTACTAAAAATTAGCCATAGCTGTTGGAAATCCGCTACAAACAATTAGCAACAAGAATAGTCCGACGAGTTTTGGTGTGTTACAATTCCGTCGGTAAAGAGCATTAGTGACGGATTACCAACGGTTAATGCTCTTTTTTGTAGTGGTGTGAATTGCAGAAGTCTCAATCGATTTATTTATTAACATTTAATCGAATATTTGTCTTTCTGAAATAATGATTTCTTCGTAAAAGCCTAATTGTCTTGTGACACAATTTATATAATCATATTAAATATTTAGATATACATAATTCACGAGATTGTTATCATTTCCCATTTATTATTAGCAGTTAATGACTTTTGGGTCAATGGTTGTTCCAAGAGTCTTTTGTTTTTGGCTCTTGTCCTCAAAAGCGTACACAGTTTGTAGGAATATACGCATCATAGCACATATACATACTGTTCAATTTAGCCGGTTAATATTGGATAATTGTTGTTATTAAAGTGGTATAAGCTAGTGGTTAAGTGATAAAAGCTATTAGAATAGCCGTAAAAATAAATGAAGAGTAAAAATGCATGATAAAACAATAAAAAATAAAAAAAAATGCAAACATCAATATGTAATTCACAATAAATCCTAACCATCAGGATGGGCTTTCAATTAAATACCCGAACAAAAGAGACTTTTATTGAATACCAACAAGAAACTAGAGAAGGAGAACAAGTCAGCAAGCTATAATAGACCTCTACCCCTAAATGAGTCCAAAAAAGATTACAAACGTCTGCACATATCTATAAATACAAAATTTTAACACCATTGAATAAAGTTTCTTCACAAGGCATCTTTTCCTCAAACAAGACAAAGTATATAACATATAATCGCTCCATTTGTCTTGAAAGTAAGAAATGTTTGATTTAATATATAGCTTTTTGTTTTTTTCTATTTGTTACCAAATATGTAAATGCCAAAAAAGTGACACAATAAAGGATATTTGTTGATAATAAAAAAAAAAAAGTTGTCACTTGTCACTGTTAATTCGTAAATTGTTAATTGGCAAAAAAGTCAAATTAAATTAAAATATTATCAAAGATAAAATGATGATTCTTTTGAAGACAACAAAAGAATAGAGAAGTGCTGGCAATTTCTGAGACGATTATCATTAAAGAGCAGAAATTAAGCATTATTTACACCTTCAGAAAGCCACGAATTTGAGTATGAGCACTGTAGCTACTAAAATTGAGCGTTGGGCTTCGAGTTGTAATTGGTGGTTGTTAATGATGATGATTGCTATTTTAATATTCCGACCTACACAAGGAGGTTGCATAGAAGAGGAGAGAAGAGCCTTGCTGGACATCAAATCCTCTTTTATTAACTCATATGATTCAAATCCAGAACAGCTTCTCCCCACATGGATTGATTATGGCAATGGCAGCGAGTGTTGTGATTGGGAGAGGGTCAAGTGCAACACAACCACAGGCCATGTCACAGAGCTTTCTTTGTGTAACGTGAATGAAATATCAAACCAACATGTAAGCTATGGGTTCAGGGGATATTGGCCATTGAATGTTTCCCTCTTTCTTCATTTTGAAGAGCTAACAAGTCTCAATTTGTCAAATAATTATCTTGATGGTGCGATCATGAAAACAGGTACCACTGTATGTTTTAATCTTTAAGTATACTTTTGAAATTAATATTCAATAGTTGACCAATTCCAAGTAAATCAGCTCAATTTATGAACACACACCATCATCCGATTAGTTCTTGAACCCAAAGATGGTTATACTTACTGAGTGGTTGGTAATTACTTTTGTAAACATGCTCAAAATTTACACTTATAAATATCGAAAGAATATGATAGTGGTAAATTAAACTTTTCTCTATTGCAGAACTTGGAAAGTTGAAAAGTTTGAAAAAGCTAGAGATACTAGACCTCAGCAGGAATTTTGATATTGACAATGGCATCCTTTCTTCAGTGGGTGCACTCACTTCACTCAGAATTTTGGATCTTAGCACAACCGACTTGGAGGGATACTTCCCTATTAATGGAAAGTTTTATAGTGTTACTATTCGATCATTTTACTTATCATACGTGATACAAAGTTCTGAAGATGTTTGCACCCTTTTTTTTTACGTATATTGCAGAATTTGCAGCTTTAGAAAACTTGGAGATGTTGGATCTAACTGGCTGCCACTTTAGTGGTACATTCCAAATACAAGGTAATGAATACAGGAGTTGAAAATATTACCCTTTTCTTGGGACAAAGAAAATTGCAATGAAGATTTATTTTTAGGACAAAGATAGTACTCTACCAAAATACCATATATACAATCAATATCAATTGGTATGCTATATAATTATTTTTTGTGAAGTGGAGTATTCCATCTCCATGGTAGAATTAGTCAACTAACAAGCCAACTTCCAAGAATTCTTTATGAATTATGTTTATTGACAATATTGAATGGATATAGATATGTATTTAAATAATTTTTTTCCCACCAAACTACACCTCAATGTAATATGGAATCATTGAATCGTTATTGCAGGCTCTGAGAGGGTTTCAATATTGAATAAGTTAGAGATTTTGAACCTTGGGGGCAATAACTTCAATGATAGCCTTATTACATCTTTACGTTTCATTCCATCACTTAAAACTCTAGATCTTCAAGGTATCCCGCTATCTAGATCATTTCCAGCTCAAGGTATGCATGCTTTCACGACCCATTACTTAAAATAAGTTTGTTCCTCGCAAAATGAACATAATAGACTTAATCTCATTTGCATCTCATTGTAATGTGAAATCTTAAAACATCTTTGCACTCTAAACAAGGCTACGGGCTACCTACTGATGATGATGAAAAGTGGCTAATGCAAAATTGCATGAAACTAGCTTCGATCAAAGTGGCTATCCAAAAATAGTCTTCATAATACATGATATATGTTTTTTTTTTTAAATATGACAGAATTAGCTCATCTGACTAACCTCGAGAAGTTGGATTTGAGTTTTACTGGGCTGAAAGGAATACCAAATATCGAAGGTAAACAAAGAATTAGCTTCTCCTAGCCTATTTGAAAGTTGATCAATGCTAAAATTATTTGGCAACTGCAAACTTTAATTATATAAGACCATGATTTCTCTAATATCGAATTCCCCCTTTTTTACAGCTTGTAAGCAATTATCAAGATTGAAAAGGCTGGAGAGTATAGTTCTTCCCTCTAACAATTTCAACAAGAGCATCATATCCTGCCTAAGTTCCCTCCCATCCCTGAAGATCCTTGATCTTTCAGTTTCTTTCCCATGGGGAAGTTCCTTTCCCTTCCAAGGCATGTTTATCATAAAATAATTGTTTTTTTATCTTCATTAGTTGGTACTTTTTAATTTCAATTTGTTCTCAAATCACTTTATTTAATTGTTTGACACATTTTCTTATCCAGCTAATTCAGAATTCGATATGTTGCCTACTTTGGAAGCCCTGTTCCTGAAAACTAATGGTTTCCATGGAACACTACCAATGGAAGGTTGTGCCTTTTCTTTTATCATTCCTTAATATTCATAATTATAATTTCTTTAAGAAAATTGGTCAAGTACTTATTAAAGTCATCAGAATGATGAACGATTAAACACATGGGCAGGTGGCCCCAACCGCTTATCTAGCTTCAATAGTCAATGATACATGATTTGTAACAAATTCTTTTCAGGTATTTTGTTTAGTAACCTAGATATGTAACCTTCTCTTGCTTTCATCTAGCTTTCACATCTTTGCACAATCTGGAGGTCTTAGATTTGAGGGAGAACAATTTTGTTGGGATCATCCCATCAGCAATACAGGCATTATCTTCCCTAAGAGTTGTCTCATTCGCTAATAATAAGCTCAACGGCTCATTACCAGATGGTAAGTGTTTGGATTGTTTAAAACAAAAGTATAAATACACTGTTTTAATGGAATGGTCAACATTACCTTTCCTGCATAGTTAATCTTTCTAACAATGTAAGTGACAACTTGAACCACATTTTTTCCCTTTTGGCAGGCTTCTGTGAATTGAAGAACCTCCGTGAGTTGGATCTTAGTGACAACATGCTCGATGGAAGTCTCCCTCAATGTTTCAATAGTCTATCATCTCTTAAGTTGTTAGATATTTCTTCAAATCAATTCACAGGCAAAATTCTGCCATCACTCATTGCTAATCTCACGTCTCTTGAGTACGTTGATTTTAGTCATAACAAATTTGAAGGTTCATTCTCATTCAGCTCGTTCTCCAATCATACAAAGCTTGAGGTAGTTGTATTTAGCAGCGACAACAACAAATTTGAGGTGGAAACAGAAGAGCCTATTGGTTGGATTCCAATGTTCCAGTTGAAAATTTTAGCGCTATCAAATTGCAATGTGAACAGGCGTAAAGGACAAGTTGTTCCTAGGTTTCTACTTCACCAACGAGAGTTCATATTGGTAGACATATCTCACAACTCCTTGGAGGGACAGTTTCCAAATTGGTTGATTGATAATAATGTGAATCTACAAATTCTTAATCTAAGGAACAACTCCTTTGGTGGTATTATTCTTATGCCATTACTTACGAATTCTAATATGAACGGTTTGGATATCTCTGAAAATCACATGAATGGTACTATTCCGGAAGAAATGCAAAAGTTCCTTCCTTACATATCTGTTTTAAATTTGTCTAGGAATTCCTTAAGTGGTGTTATCCCGTCTTCAATATGTAATTTGAGTGAATTATTGATAATGGATTTATCTGACAATGAGTTATCAGGAGAAGTCCCAAAGGAATTTCTTACAAACCACTCTCAAATAAGTATATTAAAATTATCAAGGAACAAATTGCATGGTCAGGTACTATCAGGAAACTTACGCTTGGGTAACTTTCGTAGAATTCACTTAGATAGCAATAATTTCACAGGGGAAATTGGAACTAAGAGCACGGAAATTTATGAAGGTCTGAGTGTTCTGGATATTAGCAATAACTTTTTTACTGGCATGATCCCTGCTTGGATTAGCAACATGAGAGGAGTTGATGTCAGGTGCGAACTCCTGGCAAGAAATAATAGTTTAGAAGGCAGCTTTCCATGTGGAACAGCTCAGTTCTCGTTTCTGGATATCTCACAAAATTCTTTCTCTGGGCCCATCCCATCTTGCTTAGATTTGCAATATATGGAGCATCTTCATTTGGGGTCTAATAGATTCACAGGATCGGTGCCTAATGCCTTCCGCAATTTGACTAATGTTTTGACTTTGGACATAGGCAACAATAACTTATCAGGCATGATTCCCGAATTTCTTGGAGAACTATCCAAATTAAGGATTCTTCTTTTGAGAAAAAATAACTTTAGTGGTGTGATTCCGAAGCAGTTGTGCAAATTAAGTAATGCAAGCTTGATAGATGTATCTTATAACTCGCTCTTTGGTTCAATACCTGGCTGCCTACAAAATATTACTGGTCCTGTCCACCTCGCTTTCATAGAAAAAAGCCTTATGACTTACAGTATTATGTCATTTTATACTCACGGGAGTGTTCTAAATAAGATGTTTTATCCCCAAAGGCTCAATTGGATGTTTGAAACACAAGACGAAGTTCGGTTTACAACAAAAAGCCTCTCTCTCCCCTACAAAGGTGACATTCTTGATATCATGTCGGGATTGGATCTATCATGTAACAAACTTACAGGTGAAATTCCAGAAGAATTGGGGTTGTTAACACAGATTCGTGCTTTGAACCTATCTCACAATCAGCTGATTGGACCTATTCCAGTAAACTTTTCAAATCTTGCAAATATAGAGAGCTTGGACCTTTCTTTAAATGGTTTGACTGGAAAAGTTCCATCAGAACTCATTAAGCTGACTTCTCTGTCTATTTTCAATGTTTCTCACAACAATCTATCAGGCAGACTCCCAGAAATGAAATCACAATTTGGTACATTCACAGAGGCAAGCTATGAAGGGAATCCACTTCTTTGTGGACCGCCACTAGAGAAGAAATGCACGACTAATTCACAGGTGACCCATCCATCAGTTGAAGAAGACAATGACAAATGGTATGATATCAACATGACATCTTTCTATGGAAGTTCTAGTTCCACATGTATTGTGGTATTATTTGGATTTTTTGCACTTCTTTACATCAATCCTCACTGGCGTAGAAGGTGGTTGGACTGGGTTGAAGATTGTATGTTCACATGTTATTACTTCTTTCATAAATTAGTAAGCAAGCTTGCCACTCCCTTTCACAAATAGGTACTCCTTAACGTTAATGTCAAATAGAATATACTCAAACTTGCTTTTGTATGTATTTATTGGTGTTTGTTTTGATATATGGATGATTGTATAAATAGGCTAGTAATTTTGAGAGTATATGCAAACTGCAATGTTGGTTTTGCTTACAAGCCATCTATTGCTACATAACATATGTTTCTGTGTGTTTGTGCAACAAACAAGAGACTCTACACGTAACAAAGAAGATACTCTACACAATCTATTACTACATTGTCCACACATATGACACATAGAATAGGCTAATGTTTTAATAACTCACTAGTAAGTATTGTATTTCAGATAAATTGAGATTTGTGTCCGAAGGTTTCCAAACAAACAAGCCTATCTTTTTCGACTCTGGTTGGTACGTACATTGTATTTAATGACATGGATATAAAAGAAAAGCATGTTAAATTTGAAATACGCTAGCGTTTATAGTGGAGAACCGGATTCCCAATGCATAGCGTAGGTTCGCTTTCTGAAGTGATATTTCTACCCTATGCTCGGGTTATCAAAAATGAGGTCTAGGATAATCCTAAAAGATACTTACGAATCTTGGCAATGTAAGCCAAATTGCAAGAAGATTTATGAGTTCGTTAGAGAAGAAGAAGAGCTGAGAAAAGGGTATGTTCGGCTCAAAGAGAAGAGTCGTATTTGTACATGACAATTAGAGTTTCTGTCTTCTAAATTAGTTAAGTAAATCCCAAAATTAATGACATAATCAATGGTTTTCAAAACTGGCGAGATTTGCTAATTTAACCATAATCACCCACTAGAATTCAGATATTTCACTATGATACTAATTCAAATTTCCAAAGACAGAGACTCTACCCCTTGGACCTGCTATGACCCCCTTGACCCCTACCATTTTGTCGTACCAACTTATAATACAATCTTATATATGTATGCACTCCACACTCTCCAAACATATAATATATAGTAAAAATTATAAACTTTTTAGCTCACATGTTAGTTCCAACTATACAATATGCGTGGTTACACTAAAACCAGCAACAATCCTCTTTCATTTTAGTTTAACCCACAAAGTAACATAACATTAATCTAAACAAATCAAAGCAGTACATAAAGGAAAATCTCGAAATGATTGAGTTCTCATCTTAGTATCTTACACATTTCAAATACTCGAGAATCAGGGTGTTCTAAGAATTGAACCCTTCAACCCAACTAAATACCTGAAGATAAAATACATACTAGTTTATTGAACTTTCTAGCAAAATACAACTTGACACTACTATAAAGTTGGGTATTCTAATCCTATCATGACTGTATCAAGGTCAAGCCTCCAACCTCTTGAAATGCATCTACAATTCATAATTACGTAGGTATTTCCTTTACTTCATGTATCTACATATACATTTATCAAAGAAATTGTAAGACCCTATCGAGATTGAAAAGGATGAAGAGTTTAGATCTTTCTGGTAACAGTTTCAACAAGAGCATCATATCATGCCTAACTGCCCTCCCATCCCTCAAGATTCTTCTTCTTTCATCTTCTTTAATAATGGAAAGTTCCTTTCCTGTCCAAGGCATGTTTATCTTAAAAGAAATTAAATACAAATTATATTTATTCATTTCAGTTTATGCTAATTGTTTTTATCAAACTCTCTCTCTCTCTCTCTCTCTCTCTCTCTCTCCCTCTCTCTCTCTCTCTCTCAGAATTTCTTAATTTGTCTGATTTGGAAGTCCTCCTCTTGAGCAGTAATGGTTTCAATGGAACAATACCAATTGAAGGTAAAGTTGTTTCATTGGTACTTAATTAACATAATTATTATTGCAATCAAAAATGACTTGTAACATGTCCATCTTCAGGGTTTTCGTTTAGTAACCCTCTTTTAATTTGTTGTCATCCAACTTTTTCATATTTCCAGCATCTGGAGGTCTTAGATTTGAGTTGGAACAGTTTTGTTGGCAGCATTCCATCAGTAATATGGGCATTATCTTCCCTAAGAGCTCTCTTATTTTCTGAAAATAATCTTGATGGCTCATTATCAGATCATGGTAAGTTATCTAAAGCATGATGCACATTGCACTATTGTGATTATTTTGTAACCTTACCTTTCCTCGATGATTAATCTTTTTGAAGTCGTATGAACATGCAAATGCAAGCCATATTATATATTTCTTGAAGGTTAATCTTTTGTAACTTAATTACCTTTTCAGTTTCATGGCTTAGGCAGAACATTTTTTTTTCTCGTTTCACAGGGTTGTGTGAGTTGAAGAACCTCCATGAGTTGGACCTTAGTAACAACATGCTCCATGGAACTCTGCCTCAGTGTTTGAAAAATCTGTCTTAAGTTTTTGGATATTTCTTTGAATTGATTCAGGGGAATACTTCCGTCATCACTCGTTGCTAATCTTACATCTCTTGAGTACATTGATTTTAGTCATAACTTATTTGAAGGTTCATTCTCCTTCAGCTCCTTATCCAATCATATAAAGCTTTAATCCATTCGATTCAGAAGTGACAATGACAAATTTGAGGTGGAAACAGAAAAGCCTGTAGGTTGGATTCCAATGTTCCATTTGGAAATTCTTGAGCTATCTAATTGTAATATGAAAATGCCTCCTGGGTTTCTACTTCAACAACACAATTTACGGCAAGTAGACATGTCTAGAAACTCATTGGAAGGACACTACCCAAATTGGTTGGTTAAAAACAACACCTATCTGGAACGTCTTGTTCTAAGGAACAACTTGTTTGGCAGTATGCCACTGTATAGGAATGCTAATATGAAGTGGTTGGACATGTCTGGAAATGGAATGATAGGTACTATTCCTGATGATATACCAAAGTTCTTTCCTAACATACGGTATTTGAATTTGTCCATGAATAGTTTAAGTGGTGTTATCCCATCCTCAATTGGTGAATTGAGTCAATTATGGATATTGGGTCTATCTGACAATGAGTTATCAGGAGAAGTACCAAAAGGGTTGTTTACAAATGTCTCTCGGTTGGATTTCTTAAAACTATCAAATAACAAATTGCACGGCAAGGTACTCTCAGGAAACTTAGTAAACTTGGGTAACCTCCATTCGGTTTACTTAGATAGCAACCATTTCACAGCGAAGATTGGAATTAATAGTAGCAAGGAAACTCATGAATATCTGAGAGTTCTGGATATTAGTAACAACTTGTTCACAGGTATGATCCCTAATTGGATAAGCAACATGAGTATGTTGTCTGAACTTCTTGTGAGAAATAATAGTTTCCAAGGCAGGTTTCCTTGTGGAGCATCTCCATTTTCATTTCTTGATATTTCACAAAATTCTTTTTCTGGACCCATCCCATCCTGTTTGAATTTGCAAAATATGAAGCATCTTCTTTTGGGTTCCAACAAATTCATTGGATCAATGGCCAAATCCTTTCGTAATTTGACTAGTGTTTTGACTTTGGACATTGGCAACAACTACTTGTCAGGCAGGATTCCGGAATTTCTTGGTGAACTATCCACTTTAAAGATTCTTCTTTTAAGAAAAAATAACTTGAGTGGCTCTATTCCGAAGCAGTTGTGTCAATTAAGTAAAGTGAGTTTGTTAGACTTATCTGGTAACTCACTTTCTGGTTCAGTACCTAGCTGCCTTCAAAATATTACTGGCCCAACTCACCTTGCTTTCCTAAAAGGTGTGATAAGTTGGTATTCCCTTGATTCCTCTTACAGCTATGGGGGGGGGGGGGGGGGGGTAATCTATTGTCGCAATATACAGTCGGCCTTGATTACATGGCATTGGAAACAGAAGATGAAGTTCAATACACAACAAAAAGGCTTTTTCTCAACTACAAGGGTGACATCCTTGATTACATGGCAGGATTGGATTTTTCTTGTAACAAACTTATAGGTGAAATCCCACAAGAACTCGGATTCTTAACCCAACTTCGTGCTTTAAACCTGTCTCACAATCACCTGATTGGACCTATTCCTGTGAACTTCTCAAATCTTGCAAAAATAGAGAGCTTGGACCTTTCTTCAAATGGTTTGACCGGAAAAGTTCCATCACAACTCTTTAAGCTTACATCTCTATCTACTTTCAATGTTTCTGACAACAATCTCTCAGGCAGACTCCCAGATATGAAAGCATAGTTTGGTACTTTTACACTGGCAAGCTATGAAGGGAATCCACTTCTTTGTGGACCTCCACTGGGGAAGGAATGCACAACTACTAATTCACATGCAGTGGCGTATGCCTTTAAGGGCCAGGAGGGGCCACGACCCCCGTGATTTTTAGATTTTTATTATCAAAAGATTATAAGATAACTTGTTATTTGAGAATAAAACAACGATTGGCCCCTCCAATAATTTTGAAAATAGGTAACAAAATTTTTATGGCAATGTAATCAACAACACCGACTAGGAGATAAGTGCATGTTTGTAAATTGGAATAATATGTTATTTAAGATTAGATACATGTGTTTACCCTCATAAAAATGAGAAAATTAAAGAAATAAATTATCTTATTTCCATATAATGATCCGTTATAATCAATAAGATAAAATAGGAGTTAAAATAGAAGAAAAATGGTTGCAGAAAATAGAAAAAGAAACCATTAAAAGTTCAAACGAGGTGAACAACAGATCTTAAATACTGAGTGAGATGCATCGCCTTTCATCGGAGAACATTGACACTGCCAGCTTTCACCTTTGTCGTCGTCGTGCCTCATCCACAACCACCGCCCACCGCAACACACTTTCTATCTTGATTTGGGGGTTAGTTTCCTTTGCTTTTGCTTTTAAGAGTGTCACAAGTATTATTTATATTTCTTTATGTTTCGATGGCTTTTAGTATTTTTCAAAATTAAGTTAATCAATTACTTGTTGGAGGTTGTGCCTAGGAGTTTTTCCCATACGCCACATTGATGATTGATTTTTTTTTTAATGTTTATGATGGTGTTTGTGATTTTATTCAAGGTTTATATTTTATTCAGTTTTCATATATATATATATATATATATATATATATATATATATATATATATATATATATATATATATATTAAACACACAGCTAAGTATAATTACTCTATGGTGGTATGATCCATATTTTTTATGTTTAACTATTAGTACCATTAACACAAGTTTAGTTTTATGGTTTACAACATTTTAACTTTTTCGGGTATTACCTGTTTCGGCCCCCTTCCTAATATTGTTTGTGTTCCGCCCCTGTTCACATGTGACCAATCCATCAGATGAAGAAGAAGACAATAAGAAATAGTATGATATCGACATGACATTTTTCTATAGAAGTTTTGGTTCGACGTATGCTGTGTTTTTGTTGGGCTTTGTTGCGCTTCTTTACGTCAATCCTTATTGGAGCAAATGGTGGATAGACTTGGTTGAAGACTGTATGTTTACATGTTATTACTTCCTTTTTGTTCTAGTGAGGAAGCCTTCCCCGACCATTCATAAGTACGTGTAGGACCTCCTTTATGCAAATCTCCTTTCATGCCTGTTCCTTCTTCACTTTCAGTTATGTTTCTATTGTGCATATGATTTTCCTGTTTTATTTATGCTTCATTGTGCACATGGATTTTGTGTTACGTTTCTGCTCTATTTTGTATAGTCTGCCAATTTCCAGTAACTTAGACAACATATTTTCTGCATTTTGGATGATACATCCTCCCTCAACCTTGAGATATAATTGCATAAACACCGGGTTTCTCTTATATTTTGTTGAATCCACTATCTTTGAGAGAATTAGTGAAGATGTCACTGCCCATCCATAGTTCTACAATAGGTTAATAGCTTCAACTTGGTTTTATTTCCATGAGTCGGAAAATATTTAAGATACATATACATAACTATAACAATTAGAAACCAAGTGCCTATAAAATTAAGTTAAGATTGGTAATTTGTATTCAAGTTTTTGTTTATATTAACTTTCGACAAATTATTATTCTACTTTTTGCAACAGGTTGCTGTAATATGAAGACAACTTATAAATCTTAAGTTACTTTTGATGAAATTTGTTAGCTGTAGTTTTAGGATTTAAAAAATTTTCAGGTTAAAAATTGAAATTACAGGAGGCTTAGGTTTTTGATTTCCATTACCATTTCCTAATCCACTATGACTTCTCCCCATGATGACTTGTATACCAAAGCAAATGTTCAGTGTATCGAGACGAGAATATAGATAGAAAATGTTTAGATGGGTAATCCTTCTTATTACTCCAAAAAGTTATGTCGTTCTAATACCTTAATTAAATGTTTAGAAACCTGGACATATAAAATTTCCTAATCCTAGATCAAAAGCAGATCTTAAATCTAAATTGCAATTTAGGCAACTTAAAGCATGTTATGAATCATTTAGCACATAAAAAACAAATTAGACATCTTATCCTAAAATGTAATAGTACTTGTGTCAATTCAGGTGTATTACCTATAATATGATAGACACACATCTTTACTTTTATGGCCAAAAAAGACTGATTTTCTAACGCTTATTAAATCAGAGTATTATTTTTAAAAGTTTAATAATGCAGAATTTGTCACAAAACATGATAATAATATTATCAAAGTATTATCAAAGAAATGTATTTTACTTATAAAATTCGAGATGTCATCGTCAATACAGAAACATAATCATAAATGGAGACTTATAATGTCTCAATATACTAAAGGTCTACATCTCCTTGAATCCCTCATACCTCATTATCTGAGTATCTTTATTTAATAACCCGTGATTCAAATAAACTGAGTAGGTCAGATTGGGAAACCTAGTGAGTACATAGGGATATATATATATATATATATATATATATATATATATATATATATATATATATATATATATCAAATTCGCAATATATAAATATCTCTCATATAAGCAATCTACCTTATCATGTCGATCCATACATTTTGTCCTATACAACAACATAATCCATACTCTCGAATTCAAAAAATGAATGGTTTCAACTAATCCATATTCCTAGATCAGGATTGAAGGACTATGTCTAATCCATGCTCTCGGATCAGTGGCAAATGACTATGCCCAATCTATACTCTAGAACTAGGGACGAGAGACTATATCTAATCCATGCTCTTCGACAAGGAACAAATGATTATGCCTAATCCATACTCTCGGACCAGTGACACATGACTATACCTAATCCATACTCTCAGACCAGGGATGAATGTCAGAGCTCTACTCTTCGTGTATATCTCACACGTATTCTTAAGGAGATACTACTTAATATTAACTTAGGTAGTTTATGTTAGTCTTATTTTATCTTTGGTAAGAGTATGATGCTCTACTCCTAATACTTATATTATTATTATTATCATGCAATAATATGTTTATCTTAACGTATATAGAACCATACTTGGTTCACATATCATATATTATCAAATATGTTCTTAACACATATTCCAAACAATAAGAATATAGCTCACATATAAACTCTTTAACATATATTTAATACTTTAATTAATACTTGTATTAAAATCATGTTCATGAAAAGGACTATGCCCTCACTTGATAAAAGTGACTGACGGTTTCGGCAACGCTTCGCTTCGTACTTTGAAAAGACCTAGATACATAAAGTACTAAGTTTTAGTCTAGTTTCGTAATCCCGGTGATCATAATAATTATAGTCTAGATCGCTCACTAATCCTAATGTCTACATCAAGATCTATCAAGTAAGGATCAGCCAGACAGGATAGTTAGGAGACAGCACCGTTTCAACATAATAGCTTTTCTAAAATCCAACAACCAAGCCAACGTGACTATTCTAGACACCTCTCCCGTAAGTAGATCAATCAGTATAACGACTTGGAATTATTGATAAATCTTATTTATAGGTTCATAATAACGACTTGTGTCCATAAATATAAGTTACACTAAAAACGATGGAGTGTAGCTTAACTTATAGACCTTTTAAGTGAAAACCTGGAAATTACACTGGTAGAGCTCCAACCTGATAGCTACTAGACATCAGGCTCCTAGGGACCTCAGAACTTGCCAAAATACCCTAAATCTAAGAAAATTATGACCAAAATGTAGTGATATATATATATATATATATAGAGAGAGAGAGAGAAAAAAGAAAGAAAGAGAGGGAGGGAGAGAGGGAGAGAATAAGATTGGTGTGAGGAATGAATGCACTCAGATCGGCTATTTATAGGCAGGGGTGTAGCCAATATAGGGCAAGAGTGGACCTTGGTCCACCCATACAAAATTAAGGTCACATATATATGGTATGTACAATATATATTTTTGTTAAATAAAAGGAATTAGGATTGTGATATAGCCTATTCCATTCGAAACTTTAAATTAGTAGAAGAGAATACGTTGTTGTCTATGTTTATTAGACTCCATTTTAGATTATTTTAATAATGTAAGACGACATCATGTGAAACTTAAAATAAACAATTAAGTTAAAAATTCATATATACTTACATTTGGTTATTGTTTGAAGAATTTTTCCACTCGTTCATATTTTGTATAATATTTGGCATACCCTAAAACAAAGTCTTGGCTACGCCACTGTTTATAGGATGAGAAACGACCTTGCGTACCGTGCAAAGGGTCATGCATGCCGCACACTGGCTTAGTCGCTACTCCTCCTCTAAGGGCTTAGCACGTGGCGGCTTTCTATTGGGGCGGCGTGAATGGCTTCTAGAACAATGTGTACGAGGCGTACATGTGCGCAACGAATTTAAAAACTTCAAATTTTTATAACTTCTTCATATGGACTTTGTTTTTGACGTTCTTTATATCCATGTGTAGCTATCGATGGGATCTACAACTTTTATTTAGACTTCATCAACTAATTTTGACTTTATTTATTTCACACAGGCTTAGATTGTTAAATCATGTATAAAATGAGTAACTCTCTCATACGGCATCCATTTTCGACTGTCTTTATATCATTGAACTCCTATTAGTGATATATTTAATTTTCGTTTAGATTGTTTCGGCTAAAAATCGATCAATCTAAAATTCAATTTCTGAGTTGTATATTGTTATGTTGAATCTTAGAAAAATCATAACTTCCTCTATTGAAGTCAGATTTAGACGTTCTCTATCTGCATGCTCTCGGTTTAACGACTACTACGACTTTCATTTAGATCACTAAGGCTAAACAGT